ATAAAGCTTTTTAAGCTTTGTTTTAGTGGTTTTAGTAAATCTCTGATCTATGTCATAAGACTATTTAATTATATTTTTATTTCCATTTTAGTATTTCTATGATTGTTCTTGCATACCCAGCGTCAATACCACCTTAAGCGGTAGTCCTGCCTTCCAGCGTTTAACATCAATGGATTTAACAGAAACTGATTTTAATATGAGTGATTCGACAACACCATCAATGATTACATCTTTATCCTCGTATCCAGATGTAAGTAGAAACAAAACGTTTATTAAGATCAATCAATAACGATGATGAAAAATTGAAACTGCATAACTAACACTTTTTTGAACCTAATATAAGTTATATTAGTTGTCTGGAGTCAACCTTTCTTTGTCGAAATAAAATGTTATATATAAAATTATTACAACATCTATACTTCTTTATCTTAGGTACTATTTGGTAGTGGTGGTCAAGCTATGTCTGGTGCCTGTTCGGTAAATTGCTTCACACAATTTGTAACATTCCTTGCGGTAATGTGTCTGTTGAAATTCATTGGTGCCACAGGAAGAGCTTCAAATTTTCTAGTATCGGTACGTTGTGTACCGGAAAAGGATAAAACAGCAGCCATGGGTTTTGGTATGATGATGATGTCTATGATGGCTTTTATACCCAGTCCTATATTCTTTGGTTGGGTATTAGATAGATTGTGTTTGGTGTGGGGTAAAACTTGCTCCAATAAAGGCAACTGTTGGTTATACGATCCAGAATCCTTAAGGTATAAACTATAAAAGGTTTAATTAACATATCCAAATACTTACATCATAATATTTTTTCCCACAGATATACCCTCAATATGACTGCCGCTGTTTTTGTTACTATTGGTGCCATTTTCGATTGTGGTGTTTGGTATTATGTTAAAGATTTGAAAATCTTCGATGAAGAAGTTAAAGATGTAGAAATGGAAATTGTTCAACATGAGGAAGAGGAAATGAAAACTGAAATTTAATTAAAGCGAAATTATCTATCTAAGTTTTTAGTTGAATTTATATCCCTTTTTTTAAACCCTTTTTCTATCATCTCTAAAGTTTGTGTGAATGCGTGTGTTTATTTGTATAGAGAGCGAGCGAGCAGTGTCTGTGTGCATGTGTATGTTTATTTGTTTAAAGAAATAAACATTTTTTCTTATCATTTTGTATTTTAAGCCAAAAAAAAAATAATAATAAATTCAATAACGATTGTTGTTTATTAAATAATTTTAATATATTTCTAAGTGTTAATATGTGAACATTTGTAAAGTGGCCATAATGAAATAAAAAACTAAATGATTGTTTAATAAATTTAAATAAAAGAAAAATGCAATTGTTTTTATTTAAATTGGATTAATTTATAATTGATTTGTAATAATCGAGTTATGTTGAAAATTTATCAAAAATTTTTAGGTTTTATTCGCGTTTGAAACATTAATGTTTGATACATTTTCACTATATAGAGAAATAGAGTGCAAAAAGACTTAAAGAAAAACATTGAGAACGATATATTCTGCTACATCAGACACAAAACATGTCTTATTTTCCCGATCGATTGCCCTATGAGTACTTCTTGAGTTTCGAATACTTCTTAAGTCTTGAGTTTGGGCACCTAAACATTACGTTTGGTTCATCCCTTATTTTTATGAAATTTTGATAAGTTCGCTAATGTCGAGAATATTTTACCCGTAATATCACAAGAATTTCACACAAAATATTAGGTTCCAAAATATACTACTACAAATGTTTGTTCTTTAAGAAAATTTGAACTTCAAGATCTATATGTAATCGAAGTTGCCTCGATTCTTTGCTACATCCATTTGAAATTGTATCCGATCGGACCGACTATTTTGTCACATTGTGGAATAAGGATCCATATATTTTTGTGCCGCGGTATGTCGGTCCTACAAGCACTTTGCTCAAGTACTCGAGCTATCTAATCTCTGACCATTGCAGCCCAATTGCTTTCGTCTACAACCATGCAGATGGGATGACCTCTGTTGAGTTGGCAACAGCACCTAGGGACGTATTCGGTAGACCAAATCACGAATCTATCAAATAAACTGAGGACTATGTCTTACAAGCACTTTGCTCAAGTACTCGAGCTATCTAATCTCTGACCATTGCTACCCAATTGCTTTACTTCCGAGATGCAAGGAAGAAATATTCCATGGTATCATTGTATAAGATTCCTTACAGGCATCATTAACCCAGTTCACTTCACATTCATCCGACACACTCTAGGTATACGGATGAGTGAAGCCCGCATAACCCGTCATCCATCTTGTATCATATACACTTCACACCCACAGCCACTCCTCTGCAGAAGTGTGGAAGTGCATTACGTTAACACCTGCCGTGTTGGCTTTATTTCACGGTGGCCTTTTCCATCTACAGGGTGAGCTTCTTTGACTACTCATAGATACATGCATTGCACATAGTTCTACCGGTCTATGTACAAGCACTTTGCTCAAGTACTCGAGCTATCTAATCGCTGATTGCTACCCCGTTGCCTAACAAAAAAAAGATCACTTCCGTCTACAACCACACAGATGGAATGGACTCTATTGAATTGGCAACAGCACCTAGGGCGCCATTAGATAAGCCGAGGACTTTGTTCTTGCTTACAGAGAATACACTGCGTTAAATCTGGAATGAACAGGGTTTTCCCTGAAAATATGTACCATGAAAAGGAAGGAAAATTCAATGGTGCCACTTGTATAAGATACCTTTAATCCATCACCATTCAAACCAGCACACTTCTTATTCATTTGACACACCCATAGAGAAAAACACAAGATCCGTATACATCCCTACTTTCATCCTGTATCATATACTCTTAACACCAACTTATTTCCAACCCTTAGTCCCACAGTCACTCATCTGTGGGGTATCTGTTGACATCGGCAACAGCACTGAACTTATCTAGAAATATAGATGGCTGTCTTCTAACCGAGATTCTCTTCTTACGAATTTGGGTTGAAACCACAGCTGCCACACGCATCCCCAACAACCCTGACAATAGAAATTCCGAAACTCTGCCCTGCGAGCTACCGGTTCCCGTGGTATCAGATAATGTGGTTCTCTGGTTCGACCCTATGTCAAATCATTCCAAGCAAAGGCCGAAGATACATTTGACTATCACCAGTTTATAGTCCCGGCAAACTAGAGGCACTGGTGGCACCTCTTTTCCTCGGGATTATAATCACAACAAAAGGGGGCCTTTATCATGGTAACATGACCCTGGGAAGAACTTATCCCGAATTATAGATTTTACCGTGTGTCAGTCTATTCACCAACATTCTCTTCCCCACTCTTAACACCAACTTATATCCAACGCTTAGTTCCACAGTCATTCTTCGGTGGGGAATATTTTGACATCAGCAACAGCACTGAACTTATACAGAAATATAGATTTCGCCGTTCATCGTTGTCTTTTAACCGAAATTCTCTTCCCGCGAATTTGGGTTTAAACCACAGCTACCATGTGGATTCCCAATAACTGGGACAATACAAAGACCGAAAATCTGCCCTGCGAGCTACCGGTTCCTGTGGTACCAGATAGTATCTGATTCGACCCTAAATAATTCCAAGGAAAGGCCGAAGATACATTTGACCATCTCCACTTTATAGTCCCGGCAGAATAGAGGTACTGGTGGCACCTCTTTTCCCCGGAATTGTAAGTTGGGGTCTTTCATCAATATAACATGCCCCCGGGGAGACCTAATCCCGAACTACAGATTTTACTGTGTGTCAGTCTTAAAACACAGCTACCACGAGCAACCCAACATTTAGAATAAAGATTTATTTAATTTTCTTGCTTATTTCCTTACAGTTCGTTCCTTTGCAATTTAATATATGTATAAATCGGTCCACCTTTCTAACAAATTTATTTTCATTATTCTCTCAATTCTTCAATTAATCGTCTCCGAAAATACTCTGCTCACCCACTAAACAAACTCGTAATCATTTTAGAACTATAAGTTATAATATTGAGCAGTCATTATAGATAAACAATTATAAATCGAATTATATGATAAGGTTTTAAACATAATACGATTTATAATTTATAATCATGACTTCTCTATAAAATACGCTTCGAGAGAGTGATATATTCTCTCTTTCTAAACAACTGAGGTCAAGATTAATTCAATTTCTAGAGAGATTTTTTATTTATAACTATATTTATTTTTTTTTTTGGGAGAATCCAAGGCAAGAGTAAGTTATTGATAAGAAATTGTACTATTCAATAGTCGTAACCATAAAACTAGTTATCACAAAATTTAGTTTGAGTAGTTAAGATAGTCAAATTAATAGTCAAATATAAATATATTTTTTTATTTACTACAATACTAGAGGACTAAGAAATGCGCTATAATTTGCAACAAGATATCCATTAAACTTTTCTAATTAATTTACAGTAGTTACAGCAAAACTGGGTAAAAATCAGCCTATGTTGAACCATATGTTTCTTAGTCTATGGTTTCTAGCTGACTAGATACATCTCAACTCTATTATAAAAGCATTTTGATTAATCGGAAATAGTGTTAGATCTCGAATTATATATATAGAGATCTCCAAACTTAACATTTTCATAATATATTTCTTGCACGTGCCTTTTAAAACAGTCTACACAAATTTCCCGTGGTTTTGACTGATAACGTATACCTATTAGCAGACCTCATCAGTTCTACAAGTTAAATACTTATAAAAGTTACAGCATGACAGTGAAAGTAAATATTTTTTCTTAAATAAATTTTAATAAAATACTGTAACTGATGGATGTCATTTATCGTTTGTTATTTTTAAATTTATATGTCCAACTTGCCTATCAGGGTAGGGTGTACAAATAAAAACAAAAAATGGACTGATAAGAATTTATATTAAAAAAAAAAAACTTATAATAGCCAAGACTAAATTAATTTCCAGAAATTAAATAAATATTGTTTATAACTTTTTTTAATGCGATTATATTTCATTGTGAAGAAAAACGTTAAGATTAACACAACTTGGCCGGGCAAATATTTACTTAAATGCAACTTTTGCTAAAGTGTTAATACGTAAAAAAAAAGTAAAAATGTCGCAAAACGCCACAGATCCTCTAAATGATCCGGAAACAAGAAAAAAACTATTGGAAACACAAAAATCCAATGATAATGAGGAACTAAGAAGAATTTTAAATGATATGCCTTTGACCAAGGATACAACATGTGGTTACGGTTGTTTTTAAAGGTTCATTTTTACAAAAGTAATTAACTAATTAATCAGTTTTATTTTATAAAGTGTTTTTAAAAATGTGTGTGTTAATTTATTGTTATAATTAAACTAGATTTGCTAATCAAACGGCTTATGTTGTGGTTTATGGTTTAGTGGGTTGTGTTTATGCCATGACAAATTCCTATTTCCATGCTACGATTACCACATTGGAGAAACGTTTTAAGATTCCTACCCGCAATACAGGCATTATAATGGTGGGCAATGATATTAGTCAAATGTTGTGTTCAGCATTTTTGGGTTATTATGTTGGCAGAAAGCATAGACCGAGATGGATGGGTTTTGGTAAGTTTGCTCATAAATATCAAACAAAAATTATATAAGACAGCGAGTCCCATTAACATAAAGTTCTAGAGATATACATATATCCAAAGTAATTCCTGATACCTTACTTGATATATACATTATAGACCAGCCGACCGAACGATTTCATATTTTACACTAAAGGGCCCAATATAGAAGTCATCTATGGGGCCTTGGGTTATGAACATAAAGATAGGGTCGAAGTCAAAAAAAATCTTGAAAAGAAATATGCAAAAACTTAATTTCGATTGAATTAGTTTTAACGAAATGTAATCAAAAGTTTGTCTCATCTTATCGCGAATAATTTACTTAGTCGAAGATATCTTGTTGCTCAGATCAACTTCTCTTCGAGTTCTCTGCCAACTTTTCTTCGAGTTCTCTGTCATATTCTTTTTTTAAAGGAAGATCTTGTTTTCTTGTTAGCGTTGGAGAACCAGAACCCATTCCACTATCAGTAGAATTACTGTGAGTGAGAGTTCTGTGAGAGTTCTAGGATCACTGAGAACAACTTCACTAAAACAACTTTGTCCATTTAAGTTAGTCAATGAGGCGCTTCTAGGTAGTTCTGTATTTATTGTATTTTAACGTCAAATAGAAGTATGCAAGTACACGTATTTTTTTCAAATGTTCATATAGATCTCAATTTTACCCATGAAATATTTCAAAATTCTAATTTTAATAGTTTCCCAGATTTACGAATTTTTGCAAATGCTATGTGAGATGTCTAGCACTCGATTGGTAGCCCGCCCACCAAATGTACATATGGATGTCAAAGTTGTTCTTACAACATTTTAAGATTCTAGCTCTAATAGTTTCTCAGATATGAACATATTTGTATTTAAATCACATGGGAGGTGCCACGCCCTTGTCTGCATGTCTGCTAAATGTTAACACGGATTTCAAAGTTGTTCGTGCAAATTTAAAGAATTCTAGCACTAATAGTTTCTCAGATATACCAATTTTTGTATTTAATTCACATGGTAGTTGCCACGCCCCGCTATTGAAAATATGCCCAGTTTTTATCTTAAATATTCACATTAATACTAAAGTGACTATGGACAAATTTGAGCAATCTAAGTGTTATATTTTCTCAGATGTTCTAATTTAAATTTTTCCATATATCAGAGGAGCCTTGGCCGACTATTTTCCCCATACTGCATTTTAGGACTCTAGGTCTTGAATTTTTCGGGGAAATTGTCTCCATCCGTTGATGAGTCTATAAAGTCCAAACAAACACATATTATTTGTATATATAAAGAAGATAATCAAGCTATATGTCAAATAGTCTTAGGTTAGGTTGAAAGGAGGATGTATAATACACCAGGTCCGAAGAAATATGCTTAGGTCGCTATCGGGTCTGTTGTTGAAAAACCTTAGATAGTGCTCTATAAAGGTATTATCAGCGGATGCTCAGAAACTCAGTTTCCCGGACGTATGTCATGTGAATTATACAAACGAAGTTCCTGAATGATGTAATATCTGAGATAACAAAGCTCCCAAAATATTAGTATATAACTTCGACGAATGACTGGCAATAATAAAGGACGTGTTCCGAATTTAATTGTCCTTTCCTTCCATTTTTCTTTTCGTATCATCATACTAACATCAGATTTGCTTATTCTATTTCGTCCTCCTCTCGTTAGGATCACAACATAGGATCTTTGTGGTTCTAAACCCGTTCCATTACTCCAAGTGACCCTTCGTCACTTGGCCATGCATGGCCGATTGTATTCCAGTGGTCTGGTAAACATATGATGCAAAGCTTAGTTGTGAAATAGTTTTAGATTTATCCTTAACACCTGATATCTACGTAATAGGTTTCTGTATGGACCAATTAGGTTGAAAGGTTGTTTGGCTATCTTCAAGTTAACTACGATTCATCCCATTATAAGTATAGCGGTCTTTTAATGTCGTGCCCCGTTGAAGGGTTTGCGAAGAATATTTCCTATATTCCAGATCTCCATAGAGAACCACTGTCCCTTAACGATTCGAACAAGGCAATTGTTAACGTCTCTATTCTCTCTATTTCGTGTACTATTTTGAACAGTTCCTTGGTAAGGTTTCGAAAATAGTCCAATTAGTTTTGCACTTATTCCGAAATTTAATGGGATTTGGAGCAGAACAGAGTGTTTTGAATCGATGATCTGAAAGGGTGTTTTCCGATATTTACTAATCCTTTATCTTCTGAACATATGTTTACACTGTTATGTTTAATACTGTTTCGATGATCTTATCGCCGAACTCCGCCCTTCAATTCCTAAATTAGGTATTAGAGTCATGAATATGACTGCCTTCTAACTCTGTTGGAGATTTTTTTTTGGATAACCTCAATAGAGGTCGTCCACTAAACTGTCTTCTTGTGATTCAAAAAGGCTTAGTAATAATTTAAACGTTTGCTTCAAATTTAAGCTTTAAAAGTTAGTCCATTCTCTTTTGGACTTATTACAAAATCATATAAAATTTAATTCTGAAAATCTTAAAGCAAAGAAGATAACAATTTATAATAAAACTAAATATTTTTAGGTTTATTGACCCTAATCTGCTTCTGTATGCTAACCGTAACACCACATTTTATTTACGGACCCGGTGAAGATGCCTTAAGTTTAACCAAGGAATATGGAGCCATATCGGATATTAATATATCATTAAAAGATTTGCAAGAACAACAGCAAAAACGTTTGTGTAGAAATGATGGAACTGGAGTGGAGTGTGATGTAGATGAAGGAGTTTTACTACCACAAATATTATTGTTTGTGGCACAATTTATAGCCGGTGTAGGAGGATCACTTTATCACACTTTAGGTATTTCCTATATGGATGATAACACCGAGAAATCTAAAGCTCCAGCTATGTTAAGTAAGTACATATTGGGAAATCAAACAAAACTTTTTTGAATTTGTGTTTTATTTATAGGTTTATCCTACTTCTTTGGTTTGTTGGGTCCCTCTTTGGGTTACACTTTGGCTTCGATTTGCTTGCGTATGTATATTACCCCCCACTTAACACCCATTATTACACAAGCGGATTCTAGATGGTTGGGTGC